AGCTTCAAGCTCGGCGACCGAAGACGATGTGCGTTTTGGAGGACCCAAGGTGCAGCCAAGCTTGTAGACCAATTCAGGGGCTACAATCGATGTCCCTGCTTAGAGCCTCTCATCATGAAGGCTCCCAGCCCGATGGGCCGGGATGAGGACCACTAAGTCAGTTCCACCCTTAGCCACATTGGGTGGCCCATGGAGCGATACATGAAGATTTCACAAGATTTGGAGTAGAATCCAAGTATATCGGAGCCGTGGATGACTCTATCTCCTCCGCCGACGTAACCTATCTAGTTATGTAACTCTAAGACCACCAGTGTGTTATATAAAACGTGAGAGTCTTATGTTATAGGAAACTTCAATTAAAAATGCAATTCTATTATTCCCTTTGATCTATATTACTTGTTGCTGAAATAGATGTATCTAGACGTATTTTAGTGCTAAATACATCCGTTTGAGCGACAAGTAATATGGATCTGAGGGAGTAGTTAATTTTCAAATAGGAGTAAATATCTCGACTCAGGAGAGTAGAGTTGCTAGAAAACAACTTTGTAAGCAGAGCATTTTCAAAGGCAATTGGATGGCCTGCAAATTTGTTCATGTAATTGACCTCTGGTCATAAGGCTTTCGCATGTTTTGAAATGCATATGGTAGACGATGGTCTTCCTTCTATTAAAAAAACATGCAAGTCTTTCAATTTCTAGAGCAAAATTTGGTAGGTGCAACACACGGAACATAAATTGATGAGTATATGAAAGCAGATCATGGATAACGGGAAAACAATATGCAAGAGCTGAAAGTAGTAAGAAATTCTCAAAACAGTCTCTTGCTCCCGCTTTATATATAAAGCAACAACACCCAGTTACACGGTATAACGATACAATATAGTGATGTAGCCCTATAACACTGCAAATGCCTAAAAACTGGACAACATAACCGAACACGACTATGCTGCCAAACACCTAAGCATAGCACGACCTGATTACAATGCCACGACCCAACCTAGGACACCTAGCCTCCATGACAACGCCCTCAGAAGGGGAACGCAAGTACCGCCGCTGCCGAGCCCAAATAGGACAAGGGTTTTCACCGGAGACTCGCCATGGGGAGGAGAACCACGACGATGTCTTCAAGAAGATAAGGACACCCGCATATGTCCTCACCGCTAGCGCATGGAGCTTTCACTCCGCAGCTCACCCAGGACACCTTGAGGCACCCAGACCAGCCGCGGTGAGAGCAAGCCTCTAGATCCGGATCTGGGCAACACCACTCCTAAGGAGAGAAAGTGTGCCCGAACCATCCACCGCCACACCCGCACCATCCAGACGACCAAGAAGCGTAACCACCACTGCCGCTATGGAGCCTGCCGAAAAGCCACCATACGGACCATCATCCGGGGCGGCCGCCCCGGCATCCATGTCCCGGTTGCTTGAAATGTGAGCATCAGGGCATGGTTACCTCAATCGATAGCTTGCATGCATGCAACATAGAGGTTGAATGGTAGCTCTCTGGTGGATTTGTTCAGGTCCTAGTTGCTAAAATTCTTACATAGGATTGATCTAGCTTATCTGATTGTTCAAATGTAGTCTTACTACTTGTTGTGGACATATCAGTTTGGCGCTCAAGGAAGATCGAAATATCAGTTTGGACATATCGTGTGCTTTACTTGTTATCTTATCCCAAAAGTATCTCATATATTTGTAACCATGTTATATTCCATAGTAGTTGTATGTTGAAATGTGAAAACTCGAAGTCCCTTTCGGATTAATAGTATTTGATGAGCAATCCAAAATGTTCAAAGCAATTTTACATAAAACACACATGATTAGAAAACCCTTCGTATCACAATACAAATCTGTAGTTGTGCTACGAAGCCATCACTATGGACAAATAACTTGAATGAAATAAAAGTTAATATAGAGCAGTGCTCTCTGCTTAAGCACACATTCCGTTCCATATTTCTGATGGAAAAGTGTGATCTTGCTTTCGGTAAGAGTAGTTCATGAACTAGCCGCCTTCTCTGTAACTCCACACTACTTTATTAGTAACATTCTTCAGATTCAGTGAATGCCCTGTTCTTGTGTGTCCCAGTACATTGCCACGATATAAATGGAGACACGCTAACGTCAGGTAGTTGGGAGATAAGCCGAATGATCAATAAACCTGTTATTATGTAATTTTGGTGTTTCGTTTTGCAGATACCGTAACATGCACGTGTTATTCTGTAATGGGGCCAGTTTACACGAGGTCAGGTGAAGAACGGAAATTCTAACATTAATATAGCACATACATCCTATACTTCCTCGTACCGAAATACTAGAATGGCGATGTAGCGGACGAGCGCGCCTGCTCCCACTATGCGCACCAATTGAACAAGGACATGTGGTGCTGGGCATTGAATGCGAGCGTGGAGGGTAGTAGCAGGCCATCTTCATATTAAACTCGAAGTCTGTCTTAAACCTTGAAATTGTAGTGTTTGTCGGAAATAAACCCTCACCTCAAAATCCCTTAAGTTTGTACCATGTACTTATCATCCCGGTCTTATCCCGACCCTATTCATCAGTTTAGACCAATTTGGCACACCGAGAAAAAGACAATCCACTGGGATAACTTTCTACTCTCGCTGACTAAATGGACCCACACCTTACATCCATCTTCTCACTCGATATATCCAAGACATCACCACCGTACTCAGCATAGCATCAGGCCAGTTCGTCGCCCTCGTCGACGCGAAGCCCTCACGTACACTCACTCAGCCTGGTAACGGCATGACTTCATGTCTTCAGCGCTGCAACCAGGGACGTTTGGTGCCATTGCTAGCCACCCCTACGACAACGTGAAGTGAGCAGCCGAGCTCGTTCGTGGCCAGCACGGGCCTGACCTGGACGGTTCGCTCCTCCTGCAGATGCAATGCAGCCAGCTGTGACGACGCTTCTCACCGCGGCTAAAACCTCATGGAGGACAAACAACGACCACTTATCACAATCATCACATCCACAGGCACGATCGCACCAGGGACGAGGTCGCAGGTCTGCGTCCATGGAGAAACATGAAGTTTTTTGTTTTGGAGAAACATGAATTTGTTCGTTCATGAAGCTTGTCTTTTTTCGCAGTGCCGCCGGCCGGCGTATCCGATCAGTAGCTAGCACCGGTCTGAAGATTGGTTCGAACGTTTCTCTATCTATTGTACTCCCTCCGTTCTAAATTACTTGTCTTGGATTTGTCTAGATACAGAAGTATCTAGCACTAAAATGAGTCTAGATACATCTGTATCTAGACAAATCCAAGACAAGTAATTCGGAACGGAGGGAGTAGTAAGTACTAGAACTAGAATTTGTACTAACTACTAAGCACTTGGAGCATAGTCGCATCCGTTGCAAGGATTGAATTCTCATTTGCGCAGACTGGCTGTACGCTGATCAGAGTAGCATCCATAAACTTGTCGGACTCGTTCTCCTTGCTTCTTCCTGCTGCTCCATAAACGACAGCGCCAGCAGTGCGAAGCAATACGGCGCAGGCGGGGCTGCGTTCTGCAGAGCTTGGCGGACACCAGAGCATGGCCGTAGCAATGGAATCGGAGAACTACAAGGCGAGTACTTATTGCCGTTCCGCCGCGTCAATGGCTTCGAGGCGCCTGCGCTGATTCCAGGAGAGAGGAAGGGACTGGGACACAGGATGGATATGGCATGTGGGGTAGAGATGTAAGTGAGAGCAGACTTTGATCCTGTGTGGGATGGATCTTTTCCCGGTGTGCCAAACAGGTTAAGGGTCAGGATTAGACCGGGATCATAAATACAGGATACAAATTTCACGGATTTGAATGTTAGGGTTCATTTTCAACCACATCTACAACCTCAAGGTTGAAAACAGACTTCACTCACACTGGAACAGTGGTATACGCTCAGGCCGCCCTTTAATATGAAGATGCCCTCACGGAACAACATGCACAAGTTCCCACGGTACAGGACTGACGATTTAAACAGATGTCTGCATCACTATATTATGATTAAAATGTGTGGCTCAGTCGCCAGGACTTTAGCTCCTTCGTAATTTCTCAGCTTCTTGACTTTTTAACTCCTTGGTTCATTACAGTCAAGGACGAAGCTAGAATTAGTGAAGGGTTTTCAAATTTTATTGGGGCTAACTGACCCAATGCCTATGAGACAGCTACGTCCCTGATTACAGTCAGCTAACACAAGTGTGCTAGTACAGAGTCCAAGCATGCGATGGTGCAACCAGCAAGCTAAGATTTGGCTATGCTGCAAAAAAGAATGTCATGTAAAAATAGTACAGATGGATATCTAAAAACAAGCTTGGTGAGAAGGCAATCATTGCATCGAATGCCAAAGGGTTGTGCAAAATGGATATCTAAAAACAAGCTTGGTGATAAGGTATTAGTTGAAAATGTGACTAATGGTAGATCTTAAAAAGAAAAGGAACAAACTCCAACTCTCAAACTCTGAATTGAGTAAATTTTTGATGCGGCACTCTCAAGAGAATCAAGCGAAAATTAAGTATAAGTATGCCCACTCTATTCTTAGGCTAGTCATAGTGAGAGTCAACATGCATGCTTGCACACCCGCAAAAAAAAACATGCATGCTTGCATGCTGATCTTTTCCACCTCCGTGTTTTGAGAAGAAAAAAACAGTAGACAAACACATTTCCTAGCTACAACAGACAACCTCTCTAGCAGATCCAGTAAAGCCACGTCCCGCAAAAATCGTTTACGGGAGGCCTGTAATTTTTTTTGCGGTACCGTGAGGCCTCCAACGAAATAGGTCCTCTAAAAGTTTAGAGGATCTGTTCCGTGCGGGAGGCCTCGTGGTGCCGCAAAAAAGATCATAGAATAAATATTGACAAGTGCTTGCATATGGATACACGAAATTTATGTATACATCACTAGTTCATCACATCCCAAATCATGGGCAACATACGAGGTAGCAAGTTTAGCCTTATAAACAAACAAAATAAAACATGGTTGAATGACAACCGGTCATTAAAAAAATCAAGAAACATCCTCAGTGTTGTGAAAATCATCGCCGCCACCACCGGCCATAGCACCGCCATAGCCATCATCCACATTGACCGGAGAAAGAGCACCACAATCTTCAACAACTTGGACCGGAGAATGGGAACCACCACCACCATCCAAATTGCTTGCCGAAGCACCACCACCACCATTGCCAAAAACATCACCACCTCCACCCCCAATGCCAAAACTAACACCACTTCCAAACCCACCTCCATCACCATTGCTGAAGCGAACACCACCTCCAAACCCTCCACCACTCATGTCAAAGCCACCGCCACCTCCATATTCACCACCACCAACACTGCCGAAAGCAAAAACCCCTCCAAACCCAACACCACCACCACCGATCATAAGATTTTGAAGCTCCATCTTTCTGCGACACATGATGCCCATTCTTCTCAATTCCCAAAATTCTCTTGCCGTTGCATTCATGCCCTCTCGATTCATCAACATGAACCAGTCCTCCTAGGCGGTCCTCTCGTCCTTCTCTTTTGCTCCTCTAGGGCGATCTTGCGCGCCTCAAAAGGCACACCTCTTCTCCCACTTCTCCTCCTTGTGTTTCTCTTTTTTCTCGGCCATGCCCACTTTATAGCATCCCAATTCTTGGCTAGCATGGTATATTTCATCTTTTCCGTGTAACTAATTTGATCTCTCAAAGTGGTTGCCTCGGTAGTCCTCTTCACTCTTACTTTCTCCTTCTTGTTTCCATCCGATTTTCCCTTGTTTCTCCCACTTCTTGGTGCATCATCACTATCATCATCCTCATCTTTCAATTTGGCGAAAGCACCTTTACTCCATTCTACATATGAAAAATAAAATGAAAATAAACACCAATGTTATCAGCAAATGTCTCTCTACATATGTTTTTCCGCCGGGAAAATACCTGTGCTCCATTCGCTTGGAAAAATTTGTGGGTTCTTTTCCCACTAACACGGACATGTACAATAAATGACGTAAAATTTTGTTGAAAATTAGCTACATTTTTTCCCACTGTTCATACCGGACAACGCACTCTCGGGAACGAAAAACTTATAAGTAAAATGTTCCCGCCTTCCATAATACAATGACTTTCTGATTAGTAAGAAAACAATTGCAAGCCGAATATAAATTTTTTTTCCACGCGTGCGGGCATACTGCATTTTCCGATAACAATTTCCCTAGCTAAAAAAACATCACCGCTAATTCACCAGCACTAGTTAGCGCAGTATTTCCGCTTCAACCAACCACTCCCTCACGCCGCCACCCGTAGTAATAAAAGGACAAATTAAAATGATGTTGTCAAACCAGGAGCACATTAACCACAACATTAGTTGTCAGGATGGTGGGCCCTGAGCATTATATTAAATTCCGGTGTTTCCCTGATCACCAAGACCGTGGAATAGTTTATGCATGCCTCCATGCAGCCGCCGAGAGATCCAGTGGAGCGAAACCCTGGTTGACGCCTCTGACCAAAGCCAGCATGCTCCAGCGCTGCTTTGACGTCGAACAAACGACCCGTCACAAAACCCTGTCAAACCCCCTTTGTCGTCGGCCGACAACATCGTCTCCCACACACGTACACGCATTAAAAAAAACCCTCACCTGCCACCTGCAATACCAGGGACATCCCGCATCTCCAAGGGAACGAACGCCTGAGGATACCAAGAGCGCGCGAGCTCGTCCACGCCAAGCAATTTCGGTGCAGTTGGGGGACTTGTATTAGTTTCCCCAGCTACAAGTACTGTGGTACGGAGGAGTACATCATATCAAACTCCATTTTGCTTATTCAGTGCACTGACATGGTGTCTCAGAGCATGCTAAGACAAATTATGATGTTTCAACCACATTTTTAGAAGCCCGCGTTTTCACCGTCCAATGACCGGCAGTCCGTTCTCCCTCCAAGTCGAGAACCCTCCGGCGATGTCGGTCACGGCAGTGAAGCCCTGAAAGAAGATATATTTACCATCAAGTGTCACGGAGCCAGCAGGTGAAACCATAGTTACCGATGGTGATAAATGGACGGGTGGATATAGTGATAAATGGACTGGTATTTATGCTTACAGCGGAGCAGAGTTCGGCTGCTGCCATGAGGGACCTCTTGCCACTTTGGCATCCCTGAAATGGACAAATGGAATTTTCTGAACAAAGAAACACTCAACTAAAAGAAGAAAGAAATGATCATGTTTAGGATCAGTGGCAGACATACAATGATGAGCTCGTCATCGCTGCCGAAGATCGCTGACACTTGCTCGAGAAAGTGCGGGTTCTTGGCCATTCCTGAGCCGGTGCTATACATGTAGGGGATGTTCACCGCTCCTGCCGGACGCCCACCACCGAACTCACCCTCCGTTCTACACAAGCAGCAAATCTGATCGAATGATGCAACCAACCTTTTCATATGTAAGTTTACTGTGAACTGATTTTTTTCCTGCCAGTTAAGTTGAGAGAACAGAGAGTACTACTGCAGAGTAGAGGGGCAGCAGAGCATGCAAGTGGTGATTGTTGTGTGGTTTGTGCGTTGGTTAGTTATGTACCTGACGTCGAGGTAGCGGTGTCCTGCCAGCTGCATCTCGTAGGCGACGCGCACCGGCACCGACGCCGGTACGGCCACCTCCGAATCTTCCGCGCGCCCCGGCGCTGCCGTATCTGGAGAAGAAGGAGCAAGCGTGTGAGAGTTGGGCATGGATGGACAGAATCGATCAGTCTTGCTGCACCTACACGCCCACCGTACCTGGCTGAGCCGAGCATCCTCCTGGCTGCGCCCACCGAAACCGGCCTCGCCGCCTCCACGACCCGATGGTTCGCCACCGTGCGCACGGCACCGTGCCGCAGCCTGCAGTCAAAAGAGAGCACACTGTTGGCAAGACTGAAGAAGAAGGATACCATGCATAATTGAAAAGCAGGCCAGATTGATTATACTTACCTGCAGGAGGTGAAGAAGGCGAGGGGCGGCCGGTGCGCGGGGAGGGAGACGCCGTGGGCGAAGGAGCACTCCGACGCCATTGCTGGCGGTGGACGTTGGTTTGGATCTCCTGTCTGGTCCTCCTTGTTCCCGTTCGTTCTAGGGGACTCCGGAGCCCGGCTGGACAATGGGTTCGAGCTGATTAAGCGTTTGTGTTGTTGGAGAAACGTGGTAACCTTGCACAAACACATGGCATGGGAAGACATATTTATGCTTGGTTCATGACGAGGGTTGGCAGCTGGGACGCCGCATCCACTTGAGACATATCCATTCCTGGATTGGTTGTCTGCTACGTTGGTTTCGGATAAGGTGAAGATCTTCTCGCCACGTCTCACTTCTCATCTTATCACACGTATGGGGCCACCATCACGCACTAGTCTGTTTGAGCTCTTGCATGCACTCGAAGGTGACGCGCGTGTTGCCTCGCTGTTCTCCGGTAGCGAGCTAAGTGTATGCATACACTCGTCCCTATAAACGTCCACATACACCCTATCACTGTGAGCATCTTCGAGAGACTGAGCTGACACATCATGCCAAGATTAACGAAGTCGCTATGGACGTCTTCATCGTCAACAGAAACGTCTCTCCCCCATTGAATGCATATCGCTGAAAGGGTTGAAAGATCCAGACAATGCAAGTACCTTCCATGCTGAAAGTGAGCGTTGAATTTTTTATTTGTTTTGCGGGGCACTGCCTTGATTCATTGTCGTCCCTGGCACCTGGGCGCCAGAGCACACAGAGGCTAATTGGTTCAATTTCACAAAGAAAAATCTAATCATATATTCCAGATGTTGCTATAATTCTTCATGTGCTTGTGCTTTTAACTCTAGTCGAATATTTTACAATCAAGCAACACATATGCTATCAACGTGATAAGGTAAGTGTCGCTAGTGATTTCTTTATGCATGTTTCTAAATTTTCATTTATAATAACAAGCACGATTTATGTTAATTTTCTACTTTCTGTTGTATATGGTGAAAACATTGCATGGGACCAACAAGAAACCAATCTAGTAAATTTCCATCAACCAAGATTACATTGAGTAAAAAAATTTTGTCATGGGTCTTATTTATTTCTTTAGAGTTTTCTCCATGCAAAAATTTCATGTTGTTTCCATGACAATTTATTGACCTTCGATCTATAACCACATGGCATATGTGGTAAGCTATATAAAAAAACCAACATATTGATCTTCGAGATATAGAAATAGATAGACTATAGATGATGGGTGTGGCTAGGTCTCTAAGACTTTAATCAAGTCTCACTCAAGTGATATACATATAAGAAAGAAAAAGAAAAAACTAAAAAAAAACTTTGTACGGATCTCCATGCAAGGTCTAAGGGATATAGTATCGACTGAGACATAACGAAGCCTCAGTTGACTAAGACTTAGCAAAACTGCTATATATATCTCTGATGTCAATAAGCCCAAAGGGATGGAGGGGCATATACTAGCCGCAACCGCTCCTGGATCTCAGCCACCCTCCTTAACTCGGCCGGCGATGGCTCAAAGCCCTCCAGGATGAACCCGCTGCAAACGACGCTGAACTCCTCCTCGGTGAGATCGGTGAACCCGTTGATGCCCTGGTGGTTAGTGTCGACCCCTATGGCGTAGCCGGCGTTGTTCCGATCGACTTGACGGAGGGCGTCCTTGAATATGGCGTACCAGTGCTCCTCGTGGTCGATGGACCTGTAGATCCTTTCGTTCATGGCCTTCCACTCCACGAAGATCCGCCGGGTCTCCTCCTCGCTCCTCTCTCTATCCCAGGACCAGGCCGAGTAGCCATCCTCGTGCCACCCCTGGTCGATGTCGCCGAGGCGGTGCCTGAACATGTCGTGCGCGCGCTCCTCCTCGGAGACGGAGCTGTAGGTCTTGCCGAGCTCGGCCTTCCACTCCTTGAAGATCCGCCGCGTCTCCTCCTCGCTCCTCTCCTTGCGCACGTTGTCAGGCGTGTTGCTCGTGGTTGCCGCCGCCGCCAGCAGGGACACCAGCAGCAACAGCGCCGCTGCCGCCATGGTCTTCATCACGACGGGAAATTTGGGTGGGGGACGGTCTCGGTTGATCGAACTCTGGTCAAAACGCTCACGCGCGGTGATCAATCTAGGTTTGGATTGTGTGCTGTATATTTAAGAGTGAATTCCACTTTTTACCCCATATTTATACATTTGTGACACTAATTACCCCTTCGAGTGAAAATTCATCTAGAATACCCCTTTTGAAATCTTTGGACCCTTGTTTTTTGATGCGTGTCCATCAGGTAAGGTGTGAGGTGACGCCCTGTATCCAAAAATATGTGGACGGCCACAAGGAGTGGAACAGATAGACAAGAGAAGCTTGGACAAGATCGCCAATGATGCCCTCCGATCCTTACAGTTTTTTTTACAAATCAATGACGCAACATGCCGATCCTATCGACCATAAACAAACAAAACGTAAAACTGAGGTAAAACCGTGTTAAAAGTCTTCAAAATCTGACATTTCGATAAAAGTTCCGCTAAATAGGATAATATG